CTGCAAAGTCATTTGAACTACAAGGTCGGTGGTTCAAGCTCACCAGTTTCTCCTTGGAAACCCTGTACAGGGTCGCTATGAGTCGGAATCGACTCGACAGCACTTAATAATATATATACATTCACACACTGTCTCTCATGTGTGTTAGTATATATAAACAACATTAAATCAATATTCACATAAGAGGTTATACATATATAAATATATATACACACAGAGAGACACTCATATATTCATGTGTGTATATATAAACATAAATTAATATTCACATAAGAGGCATAATTCATTAAATAATACATACCAAATTATAGAGAGCTACAAAATAAGGAGGTAGTTAGCCTGAAATTTGACACAATGTGTCTTAAGATTTGTCTACTTAAAATTATTTTGCAATCTTTAAATATTACATGAAAAAGAGGCAAAATATATTACCAGATAACATTTTTGTTAAACTTACATTAAAAATACATGAATTGCTTCATGTTTTGCCTTATTTTACCTCCTGACATGGAGTCATTAGAAAAAAAATGCCTCCCATTAATTAGTTCTCAAGTGTGTATAAACACATAGAAGACAATCATCTAGCGCTATCTTCTCAAGAGGCTGATTTATAAATTTCACTTTCTGAGCCCACCAAATCCTAAGAAAGTCCATTAAAAATATATGTAGACACCCACTTTGTGTTGTTGTCTCTTAATACTAAAAACAAATGTTGCCTCAATCAGACTCACATGCTTTCAAAGCCATGAATATAAAAATTAAATTTAATATAAGCCTTTCCAAGTTCATTTCTACTTTAGGTTTAGAGTTAATCAGCTCAGATTCCTGCCCCCCCCTTCAAAAAACAATTCTAATATTATTACTATAGAATGTTGTTTTCAAATAAATATGATAAAAACAAGGGGAGGGGGTTAGCATTTTAGCACTTCAAATCTAGGGCCTCCTTTGAGAGTTTCTGATTCCCTCTGCTAAATGACTTTTTTAGGAAAAGTTTCCGGTTTTGTTTTTTTTAATGGCTTTGATGCCATTTCTAGTTTCCCCCCAAGCCATGGTGATTGGTGTCCCTTCAGCTGGCCTCCATAATACTAGATTCAGCTCACAGAGAAAAGGGTGGAGGGGAGGTTCAGAAAATGTCAGGGGAGGTTACAATCTCTAAAGTCCAGAAGCAGAAAAAGAAGACCTTATAGACATAAAACAGAACCATAGAACGTTTCCCCACCCCCCAAAAAAAACCTGTTTTAAGACAGACAAACTGACAAGCAAGGTCTGTTATCACCAAAGAGCTTTTTCTTCACCTCCCACCCCCAGTAAAGGCAGCAACTATCTTTGTGATGTTACTTACAACAATGTGTGCTGGTGATGGGGACCGGGCATCCTTGAGGGCTTGTCTACTCTGGAGGCCTCCTGCTTGAACATCAAGTAGAGGCCATTTCATCTGGAGATACTGGATGGAGGAAACAAAATAAAAAGGGAAAACAATGAATTTAGAAAAGTAATACAAAATAGCTAGAACAAGAGGTAACAGTTTTTGTGTGTCAAAGAATAAAACACTTAAAAGGTATAAATAATTAAAAATCAAGCAAGCACGCAAACAAACAAACAAAAAAATCAAGAAATGTCAACAGGTTCTTCCTAGGACTTCATGTTCAATGTGTGAGCATCCACGGCGAATATCAATACTCTTTGCATTCAAGCTAAAGAGTAACTTTTGATCAAATTATTTCATGACTACTCCCTCATGGACTGGAGCAGGGCTAAGGTAAGGAGACAGGAAGAAGGGAGGAATCACAGACTATTTCTACAAAGAAAGCAAACCGGACTCTCCCACTAGCAGCAACTTTGAAGAGCATCAGTCCTGAATCTGCTCTCTCAGCAAAGTGCTGACCTTCATCTTTAAAATGTCATCATCCTTCACTTTCAAGAAGGCTCAGTACATCCTTTACCTAGCAGAAGTTACTTGAAGTGAGGTAAAGACTGAATTTCTCATCCCACCCTGTTATGAAGTGAATTGTATGCCACTAAAATATGTGACAAGGACCTCTACTAGCGTAGTGGGTTACAGGTCAGGCTGCTAACCTCAAGGTCAGCAGTTCGAAACTACCAGCCATTGCACGGGAGAAAGATGAGGCTTTCTGCCCCCATAAAAGGTAAACTATGAGTCAGAACCGACTCCACGGCATACCACCACCATCAAAATGTGTGACAACTTGGTCAGATCATGATTCCCTGTCCTGTGTGACTGTCCTCCGTTTAGTGATATGCTGTAATGTCTAATTTCTATAAGTTAATGAAGCAGGCTGGGTCACTGTGGGGTATATATCTTGAGTCACAGCCTTGCCAGAGGGCACACCCTACCTTTAATTACACCTGGCTTGAGTCACACATTTTATCTTACAAGAGAAAAGGGCAGAGAAGGGAACAGCCAGGAGAGGAAGCTCATGCTCACCAAGTCAGAAGAGCTGGGAGCAAAGCAAGTACTTTGGACTTGGGGTCCCTGCACTCCCCGACCCGGGTGGATCTACAAGGAGCAGTAGACCACAGATACTGAAGGGAGACACGGCCCTTCTTCCAGAGCTAGTGCCTGGAATTCCAACTTCCAGCCTCTTAAACTCAGAATAAATTCCTGCTTTTTAAAGCCATCAAGCCATCTACTGGTAGTATTTCTGTTATAGCAACCGTAGAGATCTAAGACGCAGCCAAAAGCCTATAAAACAGGAATCTTTTTTCAGTAAAAGATACACATACAAGGCACAATACAATTTACACACTTATCTCAATAACTCTCTGTACTAGAAATATTCACAAATATACACACAGAGAAAATCATGAATAGGGTTGCTATGAGTCGGTACCAATGGTACTGACTAGACAGCACTTAACAACAACAACAAACCAATTATATGTATCCCACCCTTCTTTGGGGTTGTAAATGAAGACATGGGCAAAAAAGAAAGTGATACGTCAGCTTCTAGAGGAACCTGAACACTGATGGATCCGACTCCCCATTTCACAGAACAGGAAAACTGAAGTGAAATGGCTTGTCCAGTCACCAAGGTATCTAACACATAGTAGCTACTCTCAATCATATGATTCTGGTTGGTGATATCAGCATCAGTTTTGTAGGATATCTTCAGGCAATCAAACAAAATTTGGATATATACTAAGGTTTTAATAAGAACATCAATACCAGCCTTTGTATTTCTAAAGGTCAATTGATAAATGCATCAGCTGATGCTTAGAGAGTATAAAGGGAACCTGCTTGATCTATTCAGAGACTCAAAATAAAACAGATGACTCATTTCAATATTAATTCCATGGGAAATCTTATTCAATGCACATCAATAAAATTTGCTTTATGCACCGCTGTCTTGCTAAGCGCAATGCAGAAAAAACATGTCTGCCCTCAGGGAGTTTACTCACCCATCAGCGAGAGAACCAACTGACACACAGAGGCACCTCAAGACACAAGTGGTGATGCTGCGAAGCTTCCACAGATACACCATGCCCAGGGAAGGTCAAGAAAGAAGACAGCATTTCTGCAGAAAGGGGTCTTGGGATGCCCACAAAGGATACAACTTGATATATAAGGGGAATCTCAACAGAAAGGAGAAGGACTTGAAAGGACACTCCAGAAAGAAGGAAGAGTTTGAAGAAAGCCCTTGGGAGACAGAAAAGGCCAGTCATCCACCAGCCCATCCACCGGATTCCTACAAGATACAAACACTTCTAGCAAATTAAAACCAAACATGGTCATACTTAAAGCTGGAAGCTCTTTGCTCACAACCCACCTACCAATACGCTCAAACAGTTCTTCAATCTAGATGGTGTAGTGAAGTGCCAGGCTGCTAACTAAAAGGTGGGAGACTTGAATTCACCTGCACTGGAGCAAAGACCTGATGAACACCATCCATAGAGATTATAGCCCAGTACCAGTAACGAACATTGTCATCCAGGATTCTAAACAAGAATCCTGGTCAAAGGGAGAAAATGAACAAAATGTCAAATTCTCATGAAATCTACACTTACTTTCTGGAGCCATGAGGGTTGGATGAACCCCTGAAACTATTGCCCAAAAATACCCCTGAAGTTTACTGAATATCAAACAATGTTAAGTACTGTCGAGTCAGTGGCAACTCACAGCAACCCTGTATAGGATTTCTGAGGAGCAGCTGGTAGGCTTGAACCACTGACCCCTGTGCTTTATCTTACAGTGCCACAGTAGGCCACCACATAAAAGGTTGTTGTTAAGTGCCATCGAGTAGGTTTCCAAGGAGCAGCTGGTGAATTTGAAGCACCTACCTTGTGGCTCAAATTGACCTTGTGGTCCAGTACCTTCTCCTACACCACTACATCAAGTATATACCTTCTACAACGTCACAACTTTTACCTGGAAGCCTCCTTCAGTGAAGAGATCTAGTGGTCTTGCCCCAAGGTACTTTGTACCTTATAGCAAACCCCTTGGCCTGTCCGGACCTCCCAGTGTTTCATCAATATACTAACGAGACTGGCCTACTCTGATTTGGAGGGGAGAGGCAAAGGGCTATCCCACCGACTGAAGGACCTTTAGGATTTCAGGCCCCTAGAAAGAAAATACTGACACCTCTCAGTCATCATAACAACCAAGCCATTTCAAAACATCAACTTTGGAGTAGTGTTGTCTGGGGCTGAAAATCACTGAAGCAAATGTTTCCAAGGTCTCCCTCCGCCCTGTTAACACAAGCAAAAGGGCAATGGGAATCTATTCTGCCCTGTTCTCCCCGCCCCATCTCAATTTCGTCGCAGCCCCACAGGGCACATAAATAAATACATGGGCTGTGCTGGTCAAAACCACTCCATAGAATCATTTCCTAGAGGCTGACCAAAATGGAAATCCACCAACACTCACTTCTTCATCCCACGGAAACCCGAGTACAGGAGTGCAAAGCTGAGTCGCTGAACATCTCCACCTCACCTTACCTAAGTGCAGGGTGGTGAGTCTCTGATCAGTGGACCCATTTTTATCTCTGGCCATCTGCAAACTTGATTTCACTGCATCCTAACATCAGCTCTAAAGAGTTTGGAAGTTTTGACTTTGCTTCAAGTGAACGGCCCCACCCACAACTATCATTACCATAATGCAATATTAACGTGGAAACTTAAAATTGTTATATAAAAGCTTCATTGTGTGCCATACCCAATCTCTGCAGGCTACCTGCCCCACATATTTTTATGAGCCTACATTTCAGCGCTCCGAGTCTACAATACACATAATTTTCAATGATGTTAGGGCAACCCAGAATCACTGCCTATATATAACATTACTGGTTGAAGGAAATGAGACTCGGCCCCACTGTCCAGAGAGGGTAACGGAATCCAGCTGGTGATAGAAGACAGTCTGTCCCACGGACTTGTGGAGACTCCTCAAGTAACTGTCCCAACTGCTTCTTCCCAGTGTAACTTGATCCCACACAGCTACACCCCGTGAACCTTGCGCCTTAACTGGCATGATGGCTCAGACGGTTCTTTAGGAGGAAAGAGGGATAAATATTATGTTGGGGTTTTGTTAAAGGACATAATTAACCTCCTCCAAAAGAGATGGGTTTCCCAGGTCCCTTCATCTCCTGCCATTGGTCCTTATGACTCGGGAAAATACATAAATAAAGGGGAGAAAAGGGAAATTGGGTACTATTACAGCCTAGAGGAAAACCTTTTTCTTCCTGGAGGCACGATGCAGCAGGAAATTCTATTCTGTTGGATCTTCAAGGAAGTCCAGAAAGAGGGGGCATCTCAGATTTACGAAAGGGCTGGAACACCACACCAGATTTTCCCAACTCTTCAACTTTGGTTTTACATCCTCTGGCCTTTTTTCTCCACCCCCACCCACCAGGAGGAGAGAGGGGGGTTCCCACCATCCCACTATAAAAACAACACTGGGTTCTGGCTCTCTGCTTCTCTGACTGCTCAACATGGAAATTATGAATTGCCTACAAAAACATGAAACTTTTCAACAAATTGCAATCAAATGGGGCTGTGGGAATTGCTGCCTTGAAAACTGTTGAAATGGATTCTGCTCCAAAAATAAGGCCATTTTGGCTTAAGTATTTCATCCTTTGTTTAATAATAATGTTCTGATCATGATCCATTAGGGTTTTCCCCCCAAATCGTATTTTACGATGTCTCAGAGAGCTTAACTTAAGCTCTGGACCTTTAGGCAAAGTTCCGAAATCTGTGCAACCTCATTGGCCTAAAAGGAATCAGAGGAGTTTTTTTAAAGGCTGTTAAATTGTCAGCAAGAAGAAAACAGTAAATATTTCTAATTTCACCTCTCCCCATAGAAAAGGGAAAAGAAAGGCACGCTGGAGGGTCCTTCCAAATAAGAAGGCATCTATAGAATCCAGCTTCCTCAACCAAAACACCAAAACCAAACCCGCAGCAGTCAAGTTCATTCCAACTCTTAGAGACCCT